GATAAAGACTGACAAATGCCCTGACTTTTTTTTTTTTTTTTTTTTTTTTGTAATTTTATGTAGCCTGGACTTTACCTGCATATGCACATGCTCAGAATTGTCCTAGTAGGTTGATCATGTATCACCTCTTCAGCTTGGATCCTATTGTGGATTTATTTACAAACATCACATACCTTCAAAGTCAATCCTTGCTGTATGTTTTGCAGCTGGCTGTAGTAGACAAGCAACAGATATATGGGGGGGGAGAGGGGGAAGAGATAACACAAGGAAACTAATAAGAGACTTTGTCAAGATTGTATGCCTTCTTAATTTCTTTTAATAATTTTTTGCCTATTGCTATTATTGCAAAGCAATGTTTTGTTGTCGGCTACCTAAAGATCACTTAATCTCAGGTGAATTCACTTGCCAAGCTGTTAGAATGCTATTTGTTTTGTTATGTTGCACTGTTACTTATACTGGTTTGTGTTTTGATTTTGTTCTTTGAGGGGGATTTTGAATAGGGACATGCATAAAACTTACAAAGTGAAAACAGCACCAGCAGATACTAGCAAAGTGTGTAAAGAACTTTAAAAGGGGATAGTCATATGCTGTTCAGGGTTCATGGACAGAGATATCTTAACTATTAGGGATGGGAAGGAGAAGGTTTGTTTGGTTTGCATTGGTTTTTATTTAAATAATATGTGGTTACCTAATCACAAAAAATTATATATAAAATGAGTCTCCAGTAGAAAGTATAGTTCAGATTACAAGAAAAGTTTGAACTATGGCAACTAAGCAACAGCTCAGTTTGCGTGTTTTGTATTATCTTCAGGGTTTATGATACTCTGTCATAGAATCATAGAATACCAGGTTGGAAGGGACCTCAAGGATCATCTGGTCCAACCTTTCTTGTCAAAAGCATGGTCTAGACAAGATGGCCCAGTACACCTAAAAAGTGTCCAATTTTGGGGAATCCCACACTCTCCTGGGGAGATTATTCCAATGGCTGATTGTTCTTATTGTGAAAAATTGTCCTCTCGTGTCCAATCAGAATCTCCCCAGGAGTAACTTGTACCCATTACCCCTTGTCTTTTCCATGTAACTCCTTGTCAAAAGAAAGTCTCCATCTTCTTTGAAACCACCCTTTAAATACTGGAACATGGTGATAAGATCTCCCCTAAACCTTCATTTCTTGTGGCTGAACAAACCCACTTCTCTCAGTCTTTCTTCACATGGTGGTCTTCCCAGTCCTTGGATCATCTTTGTGGCCTCTGTACCCTCTCCAGCCTGTCCACATCCTGTTTGCATAGCAGGGACCAAAATTGAACACAGTATTCCAGGTGAGGCCTAACAAACACTGAGTAGAGTGGGAGAGTGACTTCTTTATCTCTGCTGGTGATGCCCTTGTTGGTGCAACCCAGCATCCTGTTGGCTTTCTTTGCTGCAGCAGCATACTGTTCACTCATATTCGGCTTGTTGTCCACCAAGACCCCCAGGTAGATCCCAGCCTGTGCTATATTCCTGGATTATATTTTCTGAGGTGAGTCTTTGTTGAACTTCATAAGGTTCTTGTTAGCACATTCTTCCAGCCTATCCAGGTCTTTCTGCAAGGTGGATCTTGCTTCTGAAGTGTCCACTTCTCCACTCAGTTTGATATCATTGGCGAGCTTTGTCAGAGTACACTTGATCGCATCATCCAGATCACTTGTGAAGATATTAAACAGTGTCAGACCCAGTATCGATCCGTGGGGGACTACACTTGTGAAAGATTCCCAGTTTGAAAAGGAGCTATTTACTACCATCCTCTGGGTGTAATCTGTCAGCCAGTTCTCCACCCACTGTACAGACTACTTGTCTAGACCATAACACATCATTTTCTCTAGGAGGAGGCTGTGGGAAATCGCATCGAAAGCCTTGGAGAAATCCAGGTAGACAATGTCCACCACATAACCGAGCAGCTTGCTTTATCATAGAAGGTGATCAGGTTTGTCAAGCATGATTTGCCCTTCGTGAATCCATGCTAGCTTTTCCCAATCCCATGCTTCATTTGACTTCTGATAGCCCCCAGGAAGATTTGTTCAATAACTTTCCCAGGGACTGAAGTAAACCTGATGGACCTATAGTCTCCTGGATCCTCCTTTAATCCCTTCTTGTAGATAGGGGTGATATTAACCTTATTCCAGTCTCCTGGGAAGTCCTCTGTTCTCTCTGACTTCTCAAAGATTATGGAGAGCAGCCTTGCAATGACATCAGCCAGCTCTCTTAACACCTTTGGATAGATATTGTCAGGATCTATCGATTTGTAGGGGTCAAACTCCTGTAACAGTTCACATACTTTCTTCATTGACAGTAGGTCTGTCTTTGCATCAACCTGGATTTTTTGTTCCTAAGGCCTGGGGCCCACTGGTGTTGGGTGAAGAAGAAGACAGAGGTTAAGAAAGTGCTGAAAATCTCTGCCTTTTCAGCATTGTTGGTGACTGATTAATCTCTCCGTTTTAATACCAGACCAATATTTTCCTTCTGTTTCTGATTGTTTACATACCCAAAGAACCCTTTCTTGTGGTTTTTGACATGTCTGTCCAATTTCAATTTGAGCTGAACTTTTGCTTTTCTAACTGCTTCTCTACATGCCCTGGCAGTGCCTTTGTAGTATTCAAGAGGTATTCCTCTGCTTTTCCATCTCTGGTATGCTTCTCTTGGTTTTGAGCAGACTCAGAGGCTTGCAGTTAAGCCAGGGGAGTCTCTTGCCCTGCCTACTTCTTTTACCTTTAAAGGGGATTAATTGCTTTTGTGCTTCCAGGGAAGCATTCTTGGAAAAACTTCCAGTCCTCACTAGCACCTTTATTGTCCATGGAAGCTTCCCATGGAACCCCTCTCAACTGAGCTCTGAGCAAGCTGAAGTTTGCTCTTCTAAAATCTAAAACTTTAGTCTTAATACTAACCTTTAGCTGGCTCCCTAACTCTGCAATATTGTGAACGCTGCAGCCAAGGCTATCACTGAGATATTACAAAGCAGGTTCTCTTGATTTGTGAGTAACAAGTCTGCCAGTGCCTCATTTCAGCTTGGCGCATCTAACATTTGTGTAAGAAAACAGTCCTCTGTGCATTCTAGGAACTTGATGGCTGATATGTGAGCTGCTCTACTGTTCTTCCAACAAATGTCTGAGTAATTGAAGTCACCCATACGAACCATGCTCTGTTGACCCGAAGCTTGCTTGAGTGACCCAAATATTGCTCCCTTGGTCTTATTGTCTTGGTTTGGAGACCAGTAGCTGACTGTAAAAATAGTAAGACTAAACCAATTATAAAACTGGACCAGAGTATCAGTGTTATCAGCCATACTCAAATTCTTTTGCGGAGAATTGCTCTGATTGTTTCCTGGGCTAGTCCTGAGAGCTTTAAAACAAACAATTTATAACAAAAAATTTCCATTTTAGGGCCAATTCTCTTCAACATCTTCATAAACGACTTGGATGCAGGACTCGAAGGTATACTAAAACGGGAAGAGCTGTTGACTCCCTCGATGGCAGGGAGGCCCTGCAGAGAGACCTAGACAAATTAGAGGGCTGGGCAATCACCAACCATATGAAGTTCAACAAAGGCAAGTGCCAGATTCTGAACCTGGGATGGGGCAATCCTGGATGTACATACAGACTGGGGGAACAAGAGTCTGGAGAGCAGCTCTGCAGAAAATGACCTGGGGGTCCTGGTTGATGGCAAGTTGAATTTGAGTCAGCAGTGTGCCCCTGCACCCAGGAGGGCCAACTGTGTCCTAGGGTGCATCAGTCAAACCATCACCAGCTGATCAAGGGAGGGGATTGTCCCGCTCTGCTCTGCACTGGTGCGGCCTCCCCTTGAATATTGTGTGCAGTTTTGGTCACTGCAATATACGAAAGATACTAAGCTATCAGAGAGTATCCAAAGAAGGTCTGTGAAGATGGTGAAGGGCCTTGAGGGGAAGCTGTATGAGGAGTGGCTGAGGTCACTTGGTTTGTTCAGCCTGGAGAAGAGGAGACTGATGGGAGACCTCATAGCACTCTACAACTTCCTCATGAGGGGAAGCAGAGGGGCAGGCATTTATGTCTTCATTCTGGTGACCAGTGACAGAACCTAAGGGAATGGCCTGAAGTTGTGTCAGGGGAGGTTTAGGTTGGATATTAGAAAGAGATTCTTCACCCAGAGGGTGGTTGAGCACTGGAACAGGCTCCCCAGGGCAGCAGGGCAGTGGTCACAGCACCAAGCCTGACAGAGTTCAAAAAGCATTTGGATGATACTCTCAGGCACATGGTGTGATTCTTGGGGTGTCCTGTGC